CATCGAAATTTGTTTTCTTTTATAATCATTTTGTTGACCACGTGTATGAAGAAAACTGGTGAAAGAACGTTTCCGTTTCAGGTCGCAGAGAAGAGGTTTTTTTTTGCTCCTCTTTGTGTGTCTCCTTTGACAAACTTTCGAAAGATCCGTTGCCCGTAGATTACGTCCAACTAATCGAGAGAGATATATCTCGCGGTACTTTTTTTTTTTCTTTACCCTGAAGGGATCAACCATGGCGGTATGCGGGTAATGCTTGGTCTAGTTAGCCCAACGATTCAATTTCCTCTATGCCCGGACGCCGTGATTCTATTCGTATTGACGAGAAATCATCGCTAAAGCCTTGTCGTCGGAAAACAAAGTCTATAGAACGGAGAATCGGTCGCATGAAAGATAAGCCAGGAGGACGGATAGATCTTGCCACGAAGAAAAATCGAGAGCTATTTTGAAAGGAGGGAAACAGTGTAGAAAAGTACACACACACACCTTCGAACCGTACACTTTGTCCTATTTACCACCAATTTTAACCTTGCCTCTCGTAATCGCTTCACGCAACAACTTGTAGATCAACGAATTGTTACGTATAGCTTACCTTTAGCTTCCTCGTCTTCTCGTTTTTTTCACGCAACCGCGACTCACTTTACACAGAACGTAGGAACGAAAGAACGGACGGACGTTGATTTCACCGATTTCGTAGATTGTTTCTTTTTTTTTTTTCCTTAAATAAACTTGGACGACAACACTGTCTTCTATCGTTTCTAGATGATCGAACCTTTTTACTTGCGGTTTTACCTACAGTTCGACTCTTCCTTAAAACCGCCACCGTGCTTAACGAAACTCCTGTGTACGATGAGGGCCATATTGATCGAGCCTCTTTCGCGATCAAGATTTATCCGTCCCCTCGACAGCAAAGTGAGAACAAGAAAAGCAAAACAATAACAAAACAAAACCAAAAAAAAAAAAAAAAAAAACCAAAAAAAAAAAAAAAATATACAGCAAACAAGGGAAAGAAAAATTAAAAAAAAAAAAAAATAAAAGATAGAAAGAAGAGAGGAAGGAAGATCGTGGGCTGTTCTGTTGCAGCTGACGGACAGATCATGGTCGACTACGAGGACGAGTTCGATGAATTTGGGGACTCAAAGTGCTCGCTGTGCCAGCGCAGGTTTGAGGAGCAAGGTAAAATCCTCCCCTTCGATACGAACGGTATTTCTAACGAACGGAAAAAAAGCAAAAGATAGAAAAAAAAAAAAAAAAAAAAAAAAAAAAAAGAAAAGAAGAACGCGTAAAAGAGGTGTAGAGATAAGCCAATGAAAGGGAGGAAGAGACAGGACCAAGCTTACCAACTCGTGAGACAGGCCTAGATTATTCAGAGTCGCTGCTTCCCAAATCGTCCTCTCTCTTGGACGAGGAAGAGCATCCTTGTTCGATTGTATCGAACATAATACGATTGTATCTATGTACGTACGACGGCGTTCTTTGCTTTTCGTCGCCGGAATTCGGAAATTAATTCGGAGATGAATTGTTCACGGTAGAGGAATTTGGGAAGCATTGTCCCAAGTAGTAGATCCGATGTCGCATACCTGTATTACCGACGATTCACGGTACTTTTACCCTTTGTACTCGTTCTCCAATGTCTCGCGATCAACACGGAATTACTCGAAGGGAGGAAGAGGAACCTTGCAATTGCAGCTTAAATTGAAAAAAAATTGAAAAAAAATTTTCACGACACACGAACCGTAAAGAAGATATCTCGCTGAATGGCAATATAAGTATTTCGATAGAGGTTCGTCGAGTGGAAAAATGTAGAAGTAAATGGACGCAGAGGGTGGAAGGACCATATCGTACTAATCACGATTTTGTCAAGTGATTAAAAAATGTCGATTGGTTTTTTTTTTCTTCCTTTCTTTCTTTCTCGAAGTTGATTTTTACGACAAGGAAAAAGGTGGTGTCGCGTTGTACTTTAATCGCTTGACAAAACCTCTTGCTCTAGAACGTAACGAAAGATTAGTATTTTGACCGTATGTAAGTCGTATTAGCGTTACAACCCACGCTATAGTTCCAAGTACGAATATTATACTTGCTGGACGTGGTTCGAATCCAGGCAAAACGTTTGTTTCAGTCATTTAGCCTATGCTTCGCTTCTGCTTCATTATACTCCCAGTTGTTGTCTATTCTTTGTTGTTTTTTTTTCCTTTTTTTATTTCTTTTATCATTTCTGTCATGTCACGAGGAAAACGTTTCTGCGATCCAATCGTCGTTCATCCAATCGTCGAATATTCGATCGACGAGATTAATTTTTCGCTGCACACACCATTATCTCTCCCTATCCTCGTTCTGTACCCTCGTTACGTCGATTCGCGACCAGTTTCCCGCTGGTGTGTACGTCGAACGAATCGTAATACGTTCTCACCCTACACCTCGAACGATCCAACCCTCCTGTTAGACGTTCACGTGTTAGTATTTATAATAGCTCGGCTTGAAACGCTTTCGCGAATGTGGAGCTTCATTGCGGAAAGTTGGCGACACGACAGTGTCCTCTTGTTCCTCTTCTATTTTTTCTATTTTTTTTTTTCTTCTTCTTTGTTTACTTTACCCTGTCACAAGCTGACTTCTCCAAAGCAGAGCCACGAGTTATCGGTACCGGTCTACCTAAAATTTTCCAGAGACAAAGACGAAACGAGGCCCCGACCGAAAACTATCGATTACACGGTTCCGTTGTCGCCGAGCGAACAAAGAGGGGAAATATCGAGATAACGATCGCGTGAAAAGAAAAAAAAAGAAAATCTGCCGTAAACGTGCCGTTTTCGAGAGAATCACTAATCGCTTGTTTAGATCCCATCGATATAGTCGCTCGCTGCTCGCGTCACTGTAGAGACACGATCGTAATGCGAATGTAACGCACAATAGGTAACTACAGCTGCCTGAAGGTGGATCTGATTTTCACGCGAGATCGTGCCTTCTACTTCACGACGGTCTTCATCCCGGGAATCATTCTGGTGACCAGCTCCTTCATTACCTTCTGGCTCGAATGGAACGCCGTGCCAGCGCGTGTGATGATCGGTGAGTTTCCTCCTCCTTCTCCTTCTTCCGTCTCTCGCGCGGCCCGCGAACAAAACTTAACTGTCCCCCACTTCTCTGTCCCATCGGGAAATAAAACTCAGCCAACTCGGTTGAAATTGAGTTAAAAAGGGGAACGTGATTGTTTATTCCGTAGGTGTGACGACGATGCTCAACTTCTTCACGACGTCGAATGGTTTCCGGTCGACGCTGCCCGTCGTGTCGAACCTAACTGCCATGAACGTGTGGGACGGCGTGTGCATGTGCTTCATCTATGCCAGCCTGCTAGAGTTCGTTTGCGTGAATTACGTTGGCCGTAAACGGCCGATGCACAACGTCGTCTATCGTCCCGGAGAGAATCCTGTCACTCAGGTACTTTTGCTCACAGGCGTGCGCGCGATGCCGATTATACCACGCCGACACCACGTGCATAATTCTATTCCTACACTTATACGTTTCGTACGTTTTGTCCCCCTCTATTTCTCTCTCTAACTATCTGTCTCTCTCTCTCTCTCTCTCTCTCTCTCTCTCTCTCTCTATATATCTCTGTCTATCTGTCTGTCGCTCTCCACGTTCTTTATATTCTTTAGACGATTTGACTTTGAAACCCCGAGCGACGCTTTTTTGCTATCGAGTCTTATCAAGACTCGCTTTTTTCTATTCTATTTTATACCATATTTTCGTCTATGCGTTTCGTCCTGGCGTTTGTCATTTGTCTCACCCTCCGGTTG